TTACACAGCCTGCCCCTGGGGTCTTGCCTGGTGTGGTAGACCCCAGCATCTGTTGATCTTGTGCTTAGGGCTTGCTACTGCCATGATTAATGCCTCTGTGCTGTCTTTCAGTCCATCTTTGTCCAGTCACTGGTAGGATTTCCCTACTATTAATAAAAAGTAAATAAATACATGTTAAAACTAAACTTGTATCAAATAAATCTTTTTGATACCTTGTTGCACATAAAAAGGCTTCACAGACAATAGCAATAATAAGAGTGGTAATAATTATAACAACATAATGTTTTCAACATCTCTGCAACACTTCGACAGTAAAATGTTAACTATGTTAAACATAAAAACAAACCAACAGAAGTCAAAAGTAAATAAAAGAGTTAAAAGACTAAAATTAAGCACCTAGGATAGGAGTAGTAAAATTAATGACTAAGATATGATTCTACAGCAATAAAAAGTATATCAGAGCTCAAGAACAGAAGATGGGGAAGGTGTTATCTCTAGAGTCCAGAGTCTATCTGCCTATCTCTCAAAGCTACAATAAAACACTTGTGATAACTAGATGAGGTGCCAATAACAATAATTGTGTAACAATGTAAAAAAAAGGAAAGATATTGCTGTTAAATAGCTCAGCTACACTCGAAAAATATCAGTTGTTCTGTTTTTGAGCCACAATGAAGAAGTTGTTGTGGGTCTTTTGTCTGTACATTTTTTGTCTCTGTAGTTGTCAGAGCAGTGAGGTAAATGGAAGAGAGGACTTCATGCTTCTTGCAGGGCCTCTGACAAAGCAGGTGGTCAGAAGCTCAGACAGAAGCATAAATGATGCCTTTGACTGCAGTCATCCCGTTCCTCCTGGCTCTAAGCAGTACTTTGAGTACCTGCAGAGCAGAGGGGTGACCCACTTCAAAGTACCGCTGTCATGGGCTCAACTTCTTCCTACAGGCCACCCCAGCCAGCCCCAGCAGGCTGTGGTTAGATGTTACCAGACCCTGCTGAAACAGCTGCTGGAAGCAGGTCTTCAGCCTCTGGTCATCCTTCATGGATGGACAGTTCCAGAGTCTCTGCAATCAAGGTATGGAGGCTGGGAGAGCCAGGAGCTGGCACAGATGTTTCAGCAGTATGCAGAGTTTGCCTTCCAAGAGTTTGCACCACTTGCACACTCATGGTTGACACTGGATGGTGTTTGGCATGACGGGCAGCCTGCACATGCTCCCAGTTTTCTGCAGAACTTCCTTCAACTCAACAAGAACATTTACCAGATGTACCATCAACACTTTCCTGACAAAGGTGAGTCAAATTAACAGGAAAAATGACGATTAATGACAAAAGTGTCGTGACTAAATTTATGCTTTCAGAATTCTTCTCTAGTAAATACTTTTTTGTATTTCTCTGAGGATTGAGTTCACTTAAGGTTTTGTTTATAGACAAGTGTCTTGAGAAATCACTTGTAAAAATAAATTTCCATCAGTGTATAACCAAACTAAGTTAATAAAATCCTTCAGCACATGTTCAGCAGTTCCCAACAGTAAAAGTGCCTTTCATGCTTGTATATTTGCAGGCAGACGTCTGTCACTTGGACTGAAAACTAAAGATGTGGCTTCTCTCTCCGACATTAAAGCTTCAACAAGTGTAAGTTTTTTCTTTTCTTTTATATATACATATCTTTTAAACACTAATATATGTATAGTCAGAATTTCACCTCCTTGCATGATTTTTATTTAGGATCCTAATAATATTTTCGGTTGTTGATATTATTTTGGCAATAATCAATTAATCAATCAATCAATGTATTTATAAGCACATTTAAAACCAACACAGGTTTACCAAAGTGCTGCACATAGTAAAAAGTAACAAGTAGTGGTGCGGATCGATATTGAAATACCGATTCTTCTGATACCAGTAATTTATGTTCTAGAATCGATTCTCATATTAAAATATCAATATTTTAGTACTTTGGGGTAAATTTGTAGTTTATCATTAACAGGAACACAATGGAAAGAAACTATATCATTTGGATCGTCTAAATTAGAAGGAACTACTTCCTCTTACGCCTTTCATAGTCCTGATGTCCTGTAATCATTATGAAGCTATATTATTATATTATTACAATTACATAATACAAGTATATATGAAATATAATGAAACAGTCTTTGTACAAAGTATCAGTATCGGATCAGTATCGTCAATACCACCCTGAATTTTACTTGGTATCGGATCGGAAAGGAAATCAGTGGTATCGCACATCACTAGTAACAAGTAGATCAAACACACACAAAGAACAACACAAAACTTAGTCACAATTAAGTTTGAGGATAAAAGCCAATTCTACAACATACTGGAAGCCCGTGTAAATGAGCCAAGACTGGGGAAATATGGCCATGTTCACGAGTGCCTGTCAAGAGTTCGGCTTCAGCATTCTGAACTAGCTCAAGACAAGAGAGCAGAGCCTGGCTGATACCAAAATAAACACTGTTACAGTAGTCAAGCCTGGATGAAATAAATGCATGTATCACTTTCTCGAAGTCAGCAAATGACAAAATGTTCTTAGTTTTTGCAAAGACCCTGAGCTGGAAGAAGCTTTTACTACAGAATTTATTTGTTTCTCAAATAAAAAGCTGCTATCAAAGAACTCAGATTCTCTGCAAAGGGATTTCTGGTCTTTTCCAGAGGACCAAGGTCAACCTTCAGAGAAAAGCGATGCACATTAACTGGCTGTTGTGAAATCATATTTGCTTCTTGTAGATGATTTTTCTTTTTTATTAAACTATTTCTAACCAATCAAATAATTATTAACAATTATAATAATTATTAAATTTAATAAATAAATTGTTAAATTTGTAGTTAAATTTTTAATTATTATCCAATTTTTTCATTTATTTTTAATTTTGGTTTTGTTGAAGGCATTCAACACCTCTTTACACCACACACACTTAGTCACAATTAAAAGCCAGAGAGTAAAAAATGTGTTTTCAAATGAGTTTTAAAAATGTCAAGTGTTGGAGAGATGAGCTGGAAGAAGCTTTTACAACAGAATTTGTTTCTCAAATAAAAAGCTGCTATCAAAGAACACTTCCAGATTCTCTGCAAAGGGATTTCTGGTCTTTTCCAGAGGACCAAGGTCAACCTTCAGAGAAAAGCAAGGGTCAGAAGGTTCAAATAGTACAATCTCAGTTTTTTGGTTGTTTACATTAAAAAAATGTAATGCAAACCACGATTTAATGTCATCACGGCAGTCTAGCAAAACGTTTAGAGAGTCCGTAGAATTCTTTTTAAGAGGAAAGTAAATTTTAGAATCATTGGCATAATAGTGAAATGAGATTCCTTGTTTCCTGAAAATAGAGTCTAATGGGAGCATGTAAAGGGAAAAGAGTACTGGGCCCAGGATAGATCCTTGAGGGACCCCATATGTAAGGGGGGTGGATAAGCGGAAGCGAATGGATGGATGGATGGATCATTAAGAACTTTTAAAAGCACAGTTTCAGTGCTATGTAGTGCTTTGAAACTGAGATGTCATTCATTTCCAGAAAAGCCTGGAGCTGAAGAAAAACAATTTTTTTCCAGGATTTTGGACAGGAAGGGGAGTTTAGAGATTGGCCTAAAATTTGACAGAACTGATGCATTGAGATTAGGTTTTTAAAGAACTGAATGCAAGAGATGTTAATAATGTTTAAAACGTTGGGTCCAATAGTGTCAAAGACTTCTTTGAAATATAATAATGTCGAGGTGACACATAGAGGGCTCATAGAGGAATCATAAGCTGGAGGGGAGATGTGAGACCTGATAGTAGCAACCAACCTACCAAATATATGAGAAACAAAATTCTTCCACGGCCTCAGAATTGACAAATGTCCTCTTTGAAGGAAATAAGTTGCGTTAATTTCTGCCAGTAATAGACTACTTCTTGCAGAAATTTAATCACGTAAGTAACCATGCAAATTTCCATCTGATGCGAGATTTTTCATGATTTTCTTGCATTTAAAGCTTGTTTTTAAATCTCTCCAAAATATTACAAACCTCAAATTCAGCTTTTTAAGCAATTCACTGGTGAATTTGTTAATCTGCTTATTATGATTATTTCAATGAACGTCCCCAGTGATGGTCATTTATATGATCTTTACCACTAATTGACAAGACTGAGAACATATAATTATTTGGTCAATTTATGTGACCACATAATTTGTGTGGTCACAATCAGTGACCACATTAAAAGGTTTGCATGTATCACACAGGTGATTTTTACTGTGGCCAAACAATGAAATCTTACATTTGTCTGAGGATAAAACATTTTTTCCATTTTAAAACTGAAAATTGAAACTGTTAAACTATGCCACTTAGAGTCAAAAATGTGCATAATGTGCACATTAAATGGCTGTTGTGAAATCATATTTGCTTCTTGTAGATGATTTTTCTCTTTTATTAAACTATTTCTAACGAATCAAATAATCATTAACAATTATAATAATTATTAAATGTAATAAATAAATTGTTAAATTTGTATTTAAATTTTTAATTATTATCCAATTTTTTCATTTATTTTTTATTTTGGTTTTGTTGAAGGCATTCAACAACTCTTTACTCCACACACTCTAGTGACAAGAAAGTAACAAGAACAGCAGCACTAACGTACCTGAGGTTAATCATTCCCAAAGGAAATTTTAATCATTTTCTCATAATCTGGAACTACTGACTGTTGTTATATGGATTTTATATGGATTGGTCATATAATTATATATTTTTTGTTTGTTTCAAAGATGATTAATTTGTTTTTTTTGTATTTATTTAAAGGATGGAAGTGGCAACATAAGTCCGCTTAATCACCTTAAAATATATAAAAAATTATGTTAAAAACAACAATTTCCTACAAAAATGGAGCATTACATTCAGTCGTGCAAAAAAAGGAAAGGTTTACTGTAATACATTTCACATTAAGTCTCTTCTCATTATGTCCCATCTCAGAATGATGTGACAACCTGATGTTGTGTATCTCCTGCTTGGAACAGATGGACTTCTTGTCAGTGCACATTGACTACAACTGTGCCATCTCTTCAGAGTTTGAAAATGAACTGAGGAACTTACAGGTATTGAAATTGTAATAAGATGGGGTTTTTTAAAAATGTTGCATTTAACATTTTGCTGATACAGCAAAGCTGCATATGTTTCATTTTATGTTGTAGATTTTGAGCGGGAACTTGCCTATCCTGATTTACGAGATGAGCGCTCATGATTGTTCTCCCAATGATTACCAGCTTCTTGGAGATTTCCTAAATGGTAAATGTCATGACAGCTTTTTGACTTTCCAAATTTAAGATATTAATAATTAATTAAAACTAATTTCCCATAACAGAAACGAGAACAATACCTAATTTTATGAATGTGCAGCTGTATATATAAAAGAAACAATACGACTTTCCAGTGGCTGTCTTAGTAGAGATTTGTGTTTTTTTTCTACATGAAATACGTACTCATGGTGCCTAATAAGCTAGTTACCAAGAACATACCAAATGAATATGTATACTTCATACATGTAATGTTAAATGTTTCTGTGACTATAATACCACTTATTATTGTGTACAGTGTACATCCTGTCAAAAAATGGCGTTGTAAAACAGCTATCTGAAGATATTACGGGATGGCAGAATAAAGAAAAACCAAAGGCCACAAAATCTGGGCAAATCCTCTGGTGTTATTAACCAAACAGAATACATTAAGATAAAGTTCTAAATCTTGGGAGTGTTATCATGTCATGAAATCTTCTTGTTATGGGCCAGTGATGTTATATAAGGCACCCATAGACTTAGCCTTTGCTTACGACTTGTGCTCACTATTTTTCAGTAATAGTGAATACATATTGTTACTGAAACAGCTAATAGAGCCCTGGTGTGTCAAAGAAACAGCAAGTGGGTTTTTATTTAAGATTAAAGAGGATTATTTCTAGATTTAGTTAGATAAAATTCCTTACATAAACTAAGCGAAGTATTGCGAAATTCACAAATAAACTGATTAATTACACAAAATTTTATTTTAAGAGTAATATATTTTTCAAGATAAGTTATTTATCATCAGTCATAAAACAATTCATATTTCTTGAACATAACACAGTCTTGATGGACAATGGCCTGAATATTATGGGATGTGACATGAAGGACATGTTAGGCAAACTGGACACGGAAGATGCTCTTGTCAAGTAAGAGTTCATTTTCTGATTTATATGTACTGGAATTCTGTTATCTTTTTTCTTCTTATTGTATTAAAGATTTGCTTATATTTTTCATGTCTCTCTCTTTCCAAAAGTCATGGCATTTCACACCACACCAGGATGACAGGGTTAAGAAACAGTTATCAGACTGTGTGGGATAAATTTAAGTCCCAGACCACAGCAGAACGAGATCTTTTCCTTCAGGAATCATTCCCCTCTGGCTTCCAGTGGGCCACCTCCAGCGTATCCTTTAAGACTGAAGGTGGCTGGTCAGAAGGTGGGAAAGGAGAGACTATTTGGGACCGGTTTGGTCATGAGGGCTTGGCCTTTGCAAATCAGACAGCTGACCTAGCTTGCGACAGTTACCGTAAGGTAGATTATGATGTCTACCTTCTGCGAGGTCTTCAGGTCGACACCTACCAGTTTTCCATCTCTTGGGCCCGTATTTTCCCCACAGGGTACCGACAGAGCCAATCAGAAAAAGGAGCTCAATACTATGACCAGCTGATAAATGCTCTCGTTGCATCTGGCATACAACCCATTGTCACTCTGTACCACTGGGATCTGCCTCAAGCACTCCAGAATTATGGTGGATGGACCAATGCCTCCATTGTAGAGGCCTTCAAAGACTATGCAGATTTCTGCTTCTCCAGGTTTGGAGACAGAGTCAAGATCTGGAACACATTCAATAGTCCCTGGGTAGTGAGCCATGCCGGGTATGGTACTGGTGTGCATGCCCCAGGAGTAAAGGACTATGTGGAATCTTCCTATCAGGTGACAGTGATGTTATTAGAATACTGTAATTAATCACTTTATTACAAGTGTAATTATTGCACTAATGTACTTAACATTTGATTTTGCATTATCAGGTCACTCACAATATTCTCAAGTCCCATGCCGAGGCCTGGCATGTCTATAATGACAATTACAGAAAAACACAAGGAGGAAAAGTGGGCATTGCCTTGAACTCTGACTGGGCTGAGCCCAGTGACCCTGCCAAACCTGAAGACGTAGCAGCTGCAGACCGTTACCTGCAGTTTATGCTGGGCTGGTTTGCACATCCCATATTTGTAGACGGAGATTATCCTGCAATACTCAAAGATCAGGTGGAACAGAAGAAAACCGCATGCTCTGACTCTGTACCAGCAAAGCTCCCAGTTTTCACTCCCACAGAGAGCAAGAGGATACTTGGTACTGCTGACTTTTTTGGTTTAAATCACTATACTTCTCGGCTGGTCAGCAACAGTGATGGTGGGTGCACCCCTGGTCCTGACGGTGTGGGTGACTTCCATGCAACTGTGGACCCCACATGGAGTTCCACAGCTTCTGACTGGATCTATCCTGTTCCTTGGGGACTTAGAAGGCTCCTGAACTACATTGCAACAGAATACCTGAGTGCTAACAAATTGCCTGTATACATAACAGGAAATGGGATGCCAACAGATTACAGTGTTGACAGTCTCACTGACACCAGCAGAATGGACTACATGAGAAGTTACATCAATGAGGCCCTGAAAGGTTAGTGTTGGAGATTTCCCCAATTTGAAGGCACATTTTTTTTAGAGAGAGAGTTAAAATAATTCAAATATTAATTTTGTTTTTGTTTGTTCATTTTGTAGCAACACTCACAGATGGAGTGGATGTGCAGCGATTCACGGTGCAGTCACTCATGGATGGATTTGAGGCAAACCAAGGCTACAGTCAAAGATTTGGTCTTCACTATGTCAACTTTGAAGTGGGATCCAGACCAAGGACCCCAAAGCAATCTGCATATTTGTACGCTGAGATTATCGAGCAAAACGGTTTCAGTTCACAAAAAAGTAAGAAGTTTAAAGCTGCAGAAAGGCCATTAACTCGACGTTTAGCTGCTTTACCACCCTCAGAAGTTCCATCTCAGGCAAAGGTAGTTTGGGAGAAATTCTCTTCACAGTCAAACTTTGATAGACAAATGTACCATTATGGCACTTTTCCTGAGGGCTTCAGTTGGGGAATTTCTTCGTCGGCCTACCAAATTGAAGGTGGCTGGAATGCTGATGGCAAAGGTCCTAGTATATGGGATAGATTCACTCAGACAACTAACACTATTCCTGATAATGCAAACGGCAATGTAGCCTGTGACAGTTACAACAGACTTAATGAAGATCTCTACATGCTGCGGGCTCTGAGGGTGAAGTCATACAGATTCTCTTTGTCCTGGTCCAGGATCTTTCCTGATGGCACACGTAAGTCCCTCAACCAGAAAGGTGTTGACTACTACAACAGACTCATTGATGGTCTTATAGCGTACAATATCGAACCCATGGTAACACTGTACCACTGGGACCTTCCTGAAGCTTTGCAAAAGGTCAATGGCTGGGAAAGTGCAGAGATGATAGACATTTTTAATGACTATTGCGACTTCTGCTTTGCTACTTTTGGTGACAGAGTGAAATTCTGGATAACCATTAACCAGCCTCAGACAATTGCATGGTCTGGATATGGACTTGGAAATATGCCACCAAATGTTGTGGACCCAGGATATAGACCATACATAGTTGCACACAACCTCATTAAAGCCCATGCCAAGGCCTACCATACATATGACGACAAATATCGTCAGTTGCAGGGTGGTCTAATCTCCATAGCCCTCAATGCTGATTGGTTTGAACCTGCTGATGTCAACGTAGTCCGTGAAGTGGTGACTGCTGACCGGGCGATGCAGTTCCAACTGGGATGGTTTGCACATCCTATTTTTAAGAATGGTGACTATCCTGATGCACTGAAGTGGCAAGTTGGGAACAAAAGTGAAATCCAAAGTCTTCCACAGTCAAGACTTCCTTCCTTTACTGAAGAAGAAAAGAACTTCATCAAGGGAACTGCTGACGTATTCTGTGTAAATCATTACACTACAAGGGTAGTGAGCTACTTTACAGCTGCACTTCAGCCTCACTCCTATGAATCAGACCGGGACATGAGAGAAGCAGAGGAACCTGATTCACCAACTACAGCCATTCCTAACCAAAAAGCTGTGGCCTGGGGCTTGAGGAGACTCCTCAACTGGATCAAGGAGGAGTATGGTGATCCAGAGATTTATATTACTGAGAATGGAGCAGCAGTAGAATGGGATGACTTTGAAAGAGTAATGTTTTACAAGGCCTATATCGATGAGGCTCTCAAAGGTGCAGTGATATAAAAATATTTCAGAAGATATTTAACATTTTCCACCACTGCCATGACTGGTTGTTCATTTATTTTGTATGTATGTGTTTGCATTTGTGGTTACATTGCAGCCAATAACCTTGATGGTGTGCGGTTGCGAGGATACACAGCAACAGCTTTTATGGATTCTTTTGAGTGGCTGTACGGGTACAAATTTCTATTTGGGCTGCACCACGTGGACTTCACAAACCCAGACCGTCCAAGAACACCAAAGTACTCAGCTCATTACTATTACAACATCATAAAGGATAATGGTTTCCCCTTGCCAGATGATGAGAAGATGCTTCATGGCCACTTCCGAGAGGATTTTATGTGGAGTTCTGCTTCAGCATCATACCAAGTAACTTATACTTCTACTGCAATTTTACTTTTACTCAATACTGTCTTGCTTGCCTTGTTTTCATCTCTTTAAATTATTGTTTTGGATTTACTGTGTCCAGATTGAAGGAGGATGGAGGGCAGATGGAAAAGGTCTAAGCATCTGGGACAAGTTCGCTCACAGTCCTTCCAAAATATTAAATGATGACAATGGGGACATAGCCTGTGACAGTTACAATAAAATAGAAGAGGATGTTGCGATATTAAAGCAGCTGAAAGTCAGCCATTATCGTTTCTCCTTATCCTGGCCGAGAGTCCTTCCTGATGGCACCATTAATAACATTAACGAGGCTGGAATCAACTACTACCAAAGACTTTTGGACGCACTGCATGCTGCAAATATCCAGCCACAGGTATGAATAATTGTATTAATTTCCCTGTGTGCCAGAAAAGATACATGTAAATGTATTAGATTTAGTAAGACAGTCATTTTCCTTTCCTTTCTTTTCCTTTTCCTTTCAGGTTACTCTATACCACTGGGATCTACCACAAGCTATAGAGGATTATGGAGGCTTTTTGAATGACAGCTTTGTTAAGCTTTTCAGGGACTATGCTGACCTCATGTTTGACCGTCTTGGTGACAAAGTGAAAATTTGGATCACCTTTAATGAACCAATCATGACAGCCAACCATGGATATGGCTTTGGAGACTTTGCCCCAGGTATGGTTTAAGTCAGGAATCTCTGACGCCAGGTCTCAAGGGCCAGTGTCCTGCAGGTTTTAGATATCACTCTGGAACACACCGGAAACAAATGATTAGTTCGTTACCAGGCCTCTGGAGAACTTCAAGACATGTTGAGGAAGTCATTTAGCCATTTAAATCACCTGGGTTAGATCAAGGACACATCGAAAACCTGCAGGACACGGGCTCTTGAGGCCTGGAGTTCGACACCCCTGGTTTAAGTAATGCTTTGCATCTAATACTACACTGGTATTAACCAAGTTCTATAAGTGCTACAGAGTAATATAGTGTTAAAGAAAAAATGTTAAATTGTTGTCCAGGAAAATTTCTGACTGTTTTGAAACAAGCTGTAATCTTTATAGCAGTTCTTCAAATTTCTAAACTGTAGTGAAAAAAAGCAAACAAACATGACACATTTGCTGCCTATATGCTCTGGGTTTTTTTTCTCACCAGGAATCAGTTCAGGACCAGACACTCTGCCCTACATTGTTGGTCACAACCTGATTAAAGCTCATGCCGAGGCCTGGCATCTCTACAATGACAAGTACAGGGCCAAACAGAACGGCATAATCTCCATCACAATCAGCTCTGACTGGTCTGAACCCAGAAATCCTTATAGACAGGAGGACTATGATGCTGCACGACGTGTAGTGGAGGTATGCCAATTCCTTTCAGATTTGACAAAAGAAAAATTAACAGCAGTTAGTTTCTAGTGACTATTATGTTTCTCTTTGTGCAGTTCACTCTTGGCTGGTTTTCCCATCCCATATTTAATGGTGACTACAGTGAAATTATGAAGACAAGAATAAGAGACCGAAGTCTAGCTGCTGGTCTACCACAGTCTCGGTATTATGAAGGCTATTATTAAATCACAAAAAGCTAATTCTGTTCACAAGCGTTTTTCACTAACAACACTACTTCCATATGAACAGAATCAACTTTTTGGGATTTCCTTACCTGGATGATTTAGTATCCATCAAGACCCTATTATTAAATCTTTAAAATTTTGTATTCGATTTTCTAAACAACTTTATAGTAGAATAATTTAACTTTAAGTCTACTAAAATTAGTAAGTTTGGTTTCACTTAAATTTCTCCAGGTTGCCTGAGTTTACTCAAGAGGAGATTAAGAGAATTAAGGGCACTCATGACTTCTTTGGATTGAACCAGTACACATCTGCCCTGGCATTCCCTGTGGACCATGGAAATATTGCAAGCCTTGAGGCAGACATGTAAGAAGTTAACATTTGAAAAACAACTGTCTTCTGGAACTAATTCTTCTGAACAGCTTCATTTTTTTATTCTGTACTTCTCTTAACTTTGTCCCCTGCAGGGGTGCCATGGGAGTTTCTGATCGTACCTGGCTGGATACAGGCTCCTCCTGGCTGAAGATCGCACCATTTGGTATCCGCAGATTGCTGAACTTCATCAAAAATGAATATGGAAATCCACCAATTATCGTCACTGAGAATGGAGTCTCAGAGCAGGGACCTATTGATCTAAATGATGTTCACAGGATCTACTACTATGAACAGTACATTAACCAGGTGTTGAAAGGTATCAAAGCTTCCCCTTATATGAAATCTAAAGCCAGGAATGTCCTGGAGAGGAAAATAACATAATCATGTTTTGTGTGTAATATGGATGCTTTAAAATTGTTCTGCTCATTCTCTAAAAGAAAGAAGAATTTCAAGAATATGAAGGTACTTATTTTCTCTTCACAGCTTACTTGCTTGATGGTGTGGATGTGCGTGGTTACACAGCGTGGTCACTGTTGGACAACCTAGAGTGGGCTTCTGGCTTTTCACAGAGATTTGGTCTGTTCTACGTTAATCGCTCAGACCCTAATCTTCCTCGAGTGCCTAAGAGCTCTGTAAATTTCTATGCCACAGTCATAAAGTGCAACGGATTCCCTGAATCAGGAGTGCCTGAACCCAGAGTCTGGAGGTAAAAGAATGAAATATTTGCTTAGATGCCTACTTTGAATGATAGACCTTTAAATTAAATGTTCAAATAAATATCTTTTCAGCAGGTTAGTTAGTACTCTCTCATGAACCCTCTATTTCCTAAGCCATGCAACAGTTAAAATAAAGGTTGGATTTAAAGTTACTATCTGCAAATGTTCACAACTAATACGACAGTATTGTTTTCACTGTCTCTCTGCACCAACAGCTGCACCACCAGTCAACATTAACAGCGTGAAATTCCTTGGTCTGGATCTCTCCGCCGATGATGCTGAGACTGGACTTTACACCACATTTGCTCTACTGATTGTTGCAGTAGTAGGAGTCATTTGTGTTTCTGTTTTCCTCTTTAAGATGAAAAAAAAAGGTCCAAGAAAAGTAAACATGTGGACAGTATCAAAATGGAGTAAAAACTGTAACTGCAAATAAGCTGATGTGCAGTGTAGGCCCCCGTAAACAGCATTTGATTGCAGACCCTTAAAGACTGAAAAATACTACTAGGCTCATCAGACATAGTATGTGTAAGATGTCTTATAACTAAAATTGTAAGTTTGTCATGATTTAGTCAGTTATTAAATCCTTGTACATTATAATTTGCTTGACCACTGCTGCAGCATGAAGATTTGAGAATCCCCCAAAATGATTAAAAGTGTCATTTTATCCTGTACTCAAAAAACATAAAAGTAATTTATGTAATAAGAAAAACAATTTTCAGGTTATAGTACAGGATGTAACATACGCCTCAAATTTGAATAATGTTTTTGTATATGTTTATCAGATAATCAAATATATCAAATAAAACACTGCAAAAACATCCAGTGAATTATGTCATGATTGCTGTTAAATGTAAGTACCTTCTTCATCTTCAGATTTTTTTCTTCACTTTTTTGTACAGTGATAAGCAATTTTTAATACTGTTACCTTGAAGTGATTAAAATTAGAATGTAAATCTAAACAATATATCCATCATCCATCATGTCCTGTGCTGCTGTGTGCCATGTGCAGCATTTAAGCTAAATAATGATCAGTGTTGTAGGTTGATTCATTTGTTAATAAAAGTCTAAAACTGTGTTTAAACATTTGTTATTTAGCTATAAATCCAGTGGCCTCTGAAATCTCTTAAATCTTTGCAGTTTTTTACTTCAATACATTTGACTTCAGCGGTCTCCAGCAGTGTTTCACAAACAAGGAGCAGAGTAACACACTTTAAATTGTTCTTGTTAAAGAGACCTGATGAGAGTAAGTGTCAGGGTACTGTATCTCCTTAGTTGGTGACTCCTCACAAACTGGCCTGGCCTGTGGCCTGTATTTGTATAGCTGAAGTCTGCCAGCCTCGACCTCCATCATTCTAAAGACTTCCTCATCGACCAGTAAACCGTCACTATCAGTGTGATGAGCCTGGCCACATGAGTGCCCAACACCAACCGTGAAGACCAGAGCCACTCAGCCACAGGGAAACAACAGTGGAGTTGTCGAGTCAGGTGGCCACCACTCCAGCTGCCTGCCCCCCTCCAAGAACAATGCACCCTAGTTAGCCAACTCTGTCACGTCAAAGGGCTCTATCTGCACAGCTGTATTGATGACCAGCCTTGCAATCTCTGGTAAACACAGACCTGCTGGAGGGCCTGTGTTGACACATTGAAGCCAGTCATAACCCTAGGCACAGAGAATTTGTCTCTCAAGTGTGGCTAGAGGAAGAAAAAGGACAGTCACCAGGCAGCTGCCACCACTGCTCACGTCAGCCCCAACATCCGGGTCTGATAACCCTCCTTCGACTGAAATAACCCAAGCTGTCCATGACATATGGCAACACAGCAATGCAGGTCTCACCACTGACCAGCATCACTGGTTAAGGTGCCTCCTAGACGCGTGCGCTGCCAGTGACAAAGACTGCAGACAGACAGGACTGGTCCATCACAGCTTTGACACCAGCTCTGCTCAGCCCCTCCGCCTCTCCACCAACTGCCCTTCACAAAACGGCTGCACCGACCAGGTTTCCCTAACCTTGCTCTCTTCAAACACCCAGAAGGTCAGGTGGCCTGCTGTTTGGAAGTACTAAGAGCACCACCTAAGAGCGGACAAATGTGAGGCCATAGATCTTCCGTATTGATCTTACACATAAGCTTCATTTGACTAGAATTGAATTTATGGATGTTATGATGGAATGATGGATTTCAGTTGCAGGTATTCAAGAAATTTATTGTTGCTGATTCAATATGTTGATACAAGTTCTTCAAATGAAATAAACCTTCCATCTTGTATAACATGTTCTAGATTTTTTAGCCCTTTCTCACACCACAATGAAATCTTTTATTTTTTCAGACAAATATCAGGTTTGTGTTGGTTGGGCATCCTTAAAAGAAGTTTTCATAGACTTCAGACAGCACAGACAGGTCCACTCCCTGTCATGAACTGAAGGTTCACTCAAGGAATGGACCTAAATGCAGACACCAAAACACATAAAATAACTCTTTACAAGAAAGTTTATTTTGATAACAGAAAATGTTTAACAGTTTGAGATTTAGGTTAGTAATTGCCATGGGGAATAGTCCCAGAAAACTGGGTTACTAAAATGGTCATGGTGAGAGACAGAGGAACGGGAGGCAGGAGGTGAGAGATGTTTGCTGGTGAGTGATTTTCCTTAATTTGCAGGTCCAGGTTTGCAAGCTCTGAGAAGGGGAGGTCTGTGGGAATTTCCAGAGAGTCCGAGGTCTAATGGAAGGCCGGAGGGCAGGCAAACAGGCAAGCAGGCAGGGAGAAGAAACAGATATTGAGGTGAGTATGAACCGTGCAAGCAAACACCTCGCCGTGGAGAGCTTAGCGAACAGGCGAGGGGAAGCAGGTTGCACAGGTTTATGAAGTGCAGGTGAGGTGCTGGAGGTCCTACATAAAAAGGGGAGGACAAGTTGCCACAGGTGGAAAACCTCCCAGGCACTCCCACGAACCATGAAACTCCACTCTCATTATAAATGGAGAACGGGTGGAATCAGAAACCGACTGCTTGTTAACAAGAGCTGCTGAGGAGCATGCAGAAAAGACACCTAGGCCCTTACTCAATTCTCAAGTACGCGATTTGTACAATTGGAACACCAGCGTACTTGATGATGTCACAGGTCCGGAACTTTTACTGCCATCCCCTCTTAATTTAACTGTGATTAATATGTTATGAAATACACTGAAATAAACCAAATATTAACATTTAGAAGTGATCTAAGTGACTTATATATCATGTTTAACCTGAGTAGTGAAAGACCACAGGGGGTTGAAAACGATGTGCCGGGAGTCCGCTGGTCTCGTTGGCTCTAGCGATCCTCGACCTCGCGGTCTGCTATGGAGCTGGTGGGTAACAGACGTCTCTGAAAACGTCAGAGCACATTTGGAAATATATGATATCTTGATAAATCGAGCAGATATTTGAAGCTTACACAGCTACATTCTCGCTTGAAAATAACATAAAAGTTTATTTTGTGACCCAGAAAGAGTAATATTTAAAGGTTTTTAACGGCGCTCCTCCGCCATTGCCACGTTTGGGTTTTGGACAAAATGCAGTCTGTGATATTTAGCTGTACTAAGTACACACAAGTCACCACCGATGCATGCTTGATAAAACCGGCGGAGCGAGTACACGTCTGGGAATTTTTCGCGTTCTCAGCTTGATGCGTACTTTGAATTGGAACAGTACTTGGTCTCCGACTGATGACGTATCACGAGTACACGAGAATGCAAGTACGTACAAGTACGCATATTGAGACAGGCCCCTACTGTGTGTTAATGCCTACATCCTGTTGAGATGAGGTGGGTCACCCTGGAGACCAGATGTAGGTTTCTTCACAGGTGGGAGCAAAGAAACAGTGTATGTTTGTTCCTGGATGTGTGGATTACACACAAACGAGAAATGCCTGAAAAACAGGTATTTCTCTATAATTATTTTAGTCAGAGGTCATTGGCCTAAAAGCCGGCCTTTAAAGGTGCAGGTTTGACCCAGTGACCTATCCTTGAAAATTCTGTAAGTAAAACTGTCAGCTGTGTAGTCAGGACCCCAACACAGGACTCTCGATATAGAACACAGTGTTTACAGTAAACACTGTGGACTCTGTAAACATTTTACAGTGTTTACAGTGAAGTGATAACAAGATACAGATAAATCCCTGTGTGTGCTCCTGGTGAGTGTCTATTCCCGATTCCCGTGTGGTATCTTCTCCCAGTGTCCGTGGTCCGTGTTTCCACTCTCTTGGTGGCTATATACAATGTGCTCGCTTCATCTTCTCGTTTCCGCAACTCTCCTGGAAACCACAGAGTAACTTCCATACTGGTGGTAAACTCTCAAACATACAGTTAACTGCGAAACTGAAGAATTTTATCACAACGATCCAGCGTTGACTGGAGCACAACAGCCACTCTGTTGAGTAGCTCCCAAGATGAGGCTGATCAGCAGCAGGTGTGTGTGATTATGCCTCAGGTGTCACGGTGGGAAGAACCACCCTTCAGGCCTGGATCCCAGGAAAACCAGGTCAATAGATTGAGCAAGCGGCCCCTCCCTGGGGCCAGCTCCCCCGCTGACCCCAGTAGGCACCCCCACACTCTGGAACCCACCAGGGCAAGGGGGCCCAGGCCCATCCGGACCGGGGCCCGCAGCAGTAGCACCGCCCAGCCCCACAGAGTCCAGGGCAGCCCACCCCAGAGAAAACTGCACCCACCCCATCATCCAATCATCTCCCAAACTACACAAGACAATAGACACCCAGGTTGAGTTCATTCTCTACCTCTCCTATATCTCTCCCCCACCTGCAGAGTGAGCTCCTGTAGAGAGGAGACCACCTGCAAAGATATAACAGCCTCCCCACCAGTTAGAGAGCCCCCTAGTTGGGCCGATGCACCGGAGGTCCCCTGCACTGGGGCTGAGCCCCCCTGCACCCACCCGCCCACAGCCCCGGCGACACAACAACCAGGACCCAAGCCCCAAGGCCCAGCCAGCACCCCAGACCGGGGGCGGCGCACCCCCAGACCCCCAAGCCTCCACGCCCGTCCTGGACCCACCCAGGGGCAGCCAGGCTACCAGGCCAGTAACCAACGTCCGCCAGCACAGACCCTCCCCCATCTCCGCTGTACGCAGCCACAAGGAAAACACCATCTAAGAGCCACCAGAGCCCCTAACCAGGTCATGGCCACATCCCCCGGGTTAGGCCCTCCAGAGAAAACGTCCCTAGGGACTCTCCAGACGCCCTAAGGCCGTCCCTACCCCCATATCAACCACAATAGCGAAGGCAGGACCAGACCATGACCCCCCACCCCCACTAGGTGATGAAGCCGATCAAAGGAGCCCAAGGGATTGATCAAATGTGATGGCAGAGGCTGTATCAAGACTAATGTGATCTATTAGATGGTTTTTATATTGGTTAGAATTAAGATTATTTTTATTTTTCCAGTTAATGAGGACCATTTTCTTGGCAATGCATAGGGCCGTAAAAACAATGTGGGCTGTGTTTATTTCTGCAGTGACCTCATCCAAGTTGCCCAGCGAGCATACTAAAGGGGAGGCTGGAATGTTACATTTCAGACACTTTGATAAGTCTTCACATATCTCGCGCCAAAACTTCTGAACTGGTGGACAGAACCGAAGAGCGTGGATGTAATTGTCCGGTGTATTTGCTAGACAGTGTGAGCAGTAGCAATTCTAATACAAGTGTTTCCACCTGCTGCTGGCTGAACTCCAGGGATTCTTTTAGAGATTTAAATTTCCGGTGTAAGATCTCCACCAGGGACAGCCTCGCATCAAAACTGGACAATCGCTTATCGATTGACTCCAGGATGTCTACGGTGTCTTTGCCGGCAGGCGATGTTGTGCCGGGGGAGTCTGCCGGGCAACATCTTTTAGATGACGGCGTCTCAACTTTGGCCGGGGAAGACGCCCTCTAGGCCTTCTTCATTACTAAATCTTGGAAGCACCGGTCGATGTAATCTTGGAGAGCGTCTAAACTCTCCTCGTTGTCTTCCAGGGTGTTAGAGATGATAGGACAGATGTTGTTAGTTATATGACAATCGGTTAGTTTATTTGGCAATACTGAAGCTTAAAGAAACTTTGTTAAATTCTACGCTACCATTTGCTTTTTTCCCACCAAAATCTCCGGCTTCTGACGTCACCTACAACATGGGTCGCTTACCTTTTTCCGTCACTTCCGTCACTTACCTCCTTCTTCCTCTCATTCCGGTAAGTTCTAAATATGTTCATATCGCTCTTTATAGCCTATTAGTTTTATTTTCGATGCACTCTGAGGCCATAGCAAATTAGAACAAGCATTCTACCGAGTGATTTTGCAGAACTACGTTCTATTTATAGAGTTGCTAATTATTTGGCATTATTGCAGACAAACAATAATGCCAAATATTGGTATTATTGTTTGTTTCATCCATTTCACATCTATGAAATGGATGAAACACATCATGACTGGGTTCCAGCGCTACACAAGAGACCTGCTTCAAACATACCACCATGCCAATCAGATTACTTCTTCCATGTGAGGGTGAAGAGGTGACCCTTCTGGATAAGATGGTGAAGGTTTGCTGCGTTTGGTGAACAGTGTGGTAGTAAAACCGGGGAAAAATGAAACTTGCTCCTGTTAAATATTCTTAAGCCTTGTGCCTTTTTTCAAAAGATACAGTAATTAAAGTAATGTTAGTAGTGAGTGATATCATGTAAACACTGTCATGACTTTGTGTAAACGTTTAGTCATTTGTAAACTATAAATGACATGGATTCTACATTGTAACTGATGTGATGTTCTGTAAAGTGGTTTTAAAAAAAAACTGTCAAAAATTAGTTTGTTTCTTTATTCAACTTTTGAACAGTGGGACTCAGTCAGTAGATATTCAGTAAATGCAAATTATTTACACAGCAGTGCACTTCAGGCATAAATCTAGACCCCTAGATAAAACATTATGGGTCATTCCCACAACCCACAGCTTTACTGTGTTCCAGCAAAGTATCCAATAGCAGTGACAACTCCTCCATAGTAACAGGTGGGATTTTTCTTTTTTGAGGATGGCTCCTTTTACCTTTCAATACGGGTGGGTCTGTTTATGTTTTGAGCAGGAGCCTTTTTTTGGGCAGCTGAAGAGGACAAGTCTATCTTATGGCCAACCTCTGGCTGTATCTTGGTCATATTACCCAGCAAAACCCAGTATGCAGGTTCATCTGTAACAGTCCTTGTGCCACGGATCCGGACTGTTGCTTCTACTTTAAATAGAAGAGCAGCGACATGGGTGCAGGTCTCCGCGACTCCGGCCATACAGGTGCAGTGGGCAGCTTCAACCTTACCTGTGATGCTCACAGTGACCCATGGCTACAATGCTGGTTCATTCAGTCTTTGCGAGTGCAGGACCTGAAACACACACAGACAAAGTTAATTCAAAGACAAGAACTAATGAGACAAGGCCGACACAAATGTGTTTTATCTACTTTATCATAAATGTAACAAAGTGTTTAGAAAGTTAGCACATACATGTAATTTTTCATTTTTTTATGTATCCATCTATAGAACGCTGCATGTTATATTCTAAATCTGCCTGTTCTCTGTCAGAAACTTGCCTGCAGAAAATGAACCTAAAGTATGTAATGCAAGGATGTAATCACTATCAAGCTGGAGAAAGCATAAAGTGACAATTATTAATCACTTAATATGATAAGGAGATTCTGCAGGTCATTAATCAATGTCTAAAACTAAAATAAAAATGTATTTTTAGTGACACAGGATACAAACATGGAAGCAAGATGTATAATAAGAATTATTTATAATAAATATGAGTAAATCATTGCAATTTCTTTAACCATAAAAAATAACTAAATCCTTCAGGACAATGTCACATCAATGCACTGTGTTATCCCTCTAACAGAGCCTCCACATGTTCTCACTGTAATTTGCGTGAATGAATGAATTTATGCTGCACTAATCTGAATGTTCAGAGGGAAATCAAACGCATTTCACTCGCAGTACTCAAGCTGACTTTGTTTGAATAATGACTTTTACACGCTGACTCCACAGACAAGGTACGAAAATATATCAGGCTACGTCAATAGAGGTAGGTCTTCAGGGTTTCTACTCCACGGCCGTATTTCATATGGGTCCACATCTCCAATACACGCTATTTTCTGCAAGTACCGCCGCTTCGGCTCTGGACGCAATCGGTCTCTATACAGTCCATTCTCTTTTGAGCTGCTTTTAAGCATCTTTCTTGTGTTTGTTTTGATTTGTGGACCCGGAAAATGGCGCAGCGCTCCCACAATACATTGCGGCGTGACGTCAACTGCAAAGCCCTGTAACTAACCACATCTAATTCTCTGTCTATATTTTCAATAACAAATGGTCAGCTTATTTCATGACCACCTTACTTTTATGCAACCTTAGTTTTTATGGCTACTCTGAGTATTATTAGCTAAGCTAACATTAGCTACTAACCTACTGTTAGCTACTCTGTTAGTGATGTAAGTTGATAGTATTTGGTGTAAGTTAATAACTACAAGAGAAATTTAAATACAACTTAACTAATTAAAAAAGTTAGTAGTAATTACTTACCTTGCAGTCCTACAGCAGTACCTAGAATATGGGTTTGATTCCACATATATTGTTATAAAACTTTGTTTTATGCAAGCATCAATATATGAGGCATGTCAGGCTATTTCTATTTAGGCTTATTACAAAGAAACTACCACAGGTGTTTCCAGGTAATAATCAAACACTTTGCTTTAATAGGTTATTAATATGTTATTAAATAGAAACAAACAGTTTTGCATTTTGCAGCTCTTTTTCCTCACAGAGCTACCAGAGGTAAATAAGTGGTAATAACTTAGAAATTACCTCATTATTATTTTCTTGTTACCCTACTATTAGCACTTTATTACTGAGCTGTATTTCCGCATTATTACCATCAGTTTTGGGGCCCTTTATATCCAGCTTCATAAGACTTTTTGTAATATTATTCAACTGTAACCAATGTTGCTACCATGATGTTACTTTGATCTTAAGTGGTTTTTACTTTGGTAGTTGTATAGCGACAACTTAAGTGGTAATAACAACATTATTATGCTCTTGTCTCCCACTTGTAATCCTACTATTACCCCGTTATTACTGAGCTATAAGATAAAGTACTACCAAATAATTAATAGGATATTAAGAATAAAAAATCAGCAGCAGAATTTAGAAAGATAATAACGAAACCAAATCCAGGAATTAAAGTGTAAAGTGTAATACACTGGCAGTGTGTTTGTTTTGTTTGGTCATTTCACTGGGTCAACACCCCTCCCCTCCTCCTCCCCCTCACCCCAAGTGCTGAGTTGTGCAGTTTGTGTTTTTAGGCCTGCTGGTTCTACTCCTGGGGAAGAGCAGCCCATCGTTGATCAGGCTTCTCTGTGCATTTATGACAGTATGCAGAGTGTGGCTGACGTCATCCATGTACAGCAGCTTGTCCTGAGTCTCTGCCGCTGTCATCAAACATATAAAAGCTTGAATTAGCTTATCCGACTCCCTGTGGCTGGAGCAAAGATAATTTTTATAGTAGGCTGTTATAAACTTTGGGACTAGAAGAATTATTCCAGAAGACTGTGTGTGTGTGTGTGTGTGTGTGTGTGTGTGTGTGTGTGTGTGTGTGTGTGTGTGTGTGTGTGTGTGTGCATTTTTAAATTACATTTTAATGCTTTTATTTCAGCCTTGAAAATATGCAGCAAGCTCTTATACTTAGGAAGTTGTTGAATTAAATGTTGGAGTGAAATAAGGCCAATTTTTGTCCTTACCTAGACTGTTGATTATTATTATTATAATAATTATTATTATTCAGAATTGCATACCCCTGATCATGATTACGTCTTAGTCTATTTTGACCTTGTTACCGCCAAATTGTTCGTATTTTAACTCACCAAGGACTACGGGCCGAGGTGGAGGAGTGGCCACAGTTTATAAATCTACTTTTCACTGTCGCCAGCTGTCACCTGTCACTTTCTCCAGTTTTGAACTGAATATGTTTGAGCTTGGTAGCAGTCATCCTGTTCTTTGTGCGGTGATCTACCGTCCACCAAAATATAATAGGAACTTTGTTAATGACTTCTCTGAGTTCTTGGCTGAAATAATGCCAAAGTATGACAAGGTTTTAATCTTGGGTGATATGAATATTCATGTGTGTTGTCCTACTAAACCATTGGCAAAGGACTTTTTAAACCTACTTGATGCTTTTAATGTT